CGTGGTAGAAGGAAACAGTTTCGTGGTACCTCAAAGGTTGAAATAAATCAAGAATTTATATCTTCAAAAGGAAACAAGATGTGGTTTTACGTCGGAAAGGTGGCCCAGTCAGTGGAAGCTGCTAAAATTCGCAGGTACATAACTCAAAAACTGCCAAATATTAGTGAGGAAAACTTAATTATTGATCAGCTTAAAACTATAGGGAAAACCAATTCTTTCAAAATTGGTGTCATTCCCATTCACTACAATGCTATGAACTCCTGCGAATTCTGGCCTAGTGGTGTGATCTTTCGTAGATTCAACTTCAAGAAAAAACTTGACACATCAAAAAATGACCCTGGTGCTGATTTTCATTCGTCCCAGAATTTTCAGAATCTAGCCGTCAATCAGGAGGTATTTGCAAACTAAATAGTTCTGTATCAGTCTACTATCAGAACGTGCGTGGTTTGCGTACTAAATTGGTAAAACTAATCAGTTCCATTCCTTTAGTTGCATACCAAGTACTCGTTTTTACAGAAACGTGGTTGAGTGATAACTTTCTTGATGTAGAACTGGGCATGGACAATTACAATATTTACAGAAGTGACCGAACTCCAGCAACAAGCACATCCTTAAGGGGGGGAGGTGTATTAATAGCTGTCCGGAATAACATTCTCAGTTCCATTTGTGAATCAGCCTCAACCATTGAGCAGTTATTTGTAAGAGTGCAGTCTGCTAATAGTAAACTATTGCTTGGAGCTGTATACCTACCTCCGAAATCTAATGGAGATAATTATAAGTGTTTTTCAGACTCAGTAGATACTTTATCTGAAACATTTCCTGATTACAAGCTCTGCATACTTGGGGATTTTAACTTACCCAAAGCACAATGGGTTGATGACGGCCTGAGCTCAAGTGCTACTGCAACCCCCTCCGCTATTCCCTCAGAGCGCGCAGCTACTGAGTACCTATCCAACATGAGTGCTTACCATAACATGTTTCAAATAAACAAGTTCCACAATGCGCATGGCTCTCTGTTAGACCTGATGTTTAGTCAGGATCCTGATGACACCTGCACCTTGGCAGATGACATCCTTCTCCCTATTGATTCATATCACCCTGCATTAATATTAAACATATTATGTGCCGAGACCCAGCAGTGTAACTCAGACTACCCGCAACCTGATGAGTACTACTATGATTTTAAATCTGCCGAGTATGCACTTCTCAATGATCATCTAAGTATGATCAACTGGGATGCTTTACTCCAAGGCCCAACTGTAGCCGAAATGGTCAGTATTTTTTATGACATTCTTTACACTGCTATTGACTGCTTTGTACCAAAGAAAAAGCTTTCCACCCATAAATTTCCTAAATGGTTCCCCTTCGACCTAAAGGAACTCATAATCAAGAAGAAAGAAGCACACAGAACCTGGAAGCGGACTGACTCTCCTAGTGACTATGACAACTTCTCGAATCTTCGCACTCGGTGTAAGACTCTTTCAAAGGACTCCTATCTGAATTATGTGCAGCGCTCTGAAATGTCACTGCTGAATGATCACAACCTCAAACACTTCTGGAGTTTTATCAATGCCAAGCGAAAAGCGAATGGTTTGCCGTCTCACATGTTTTATAATAGCAACATTGCCAAAAATGGTTCAGAGATAGCTAATCTCTTTGCTGAATACTTCCATTCTGTTTATTCCAACAAAATCTGTGTTGCTAGTCAGGACATCTCTCGGAGCGATGCACATATTCATATTCATGAATTTAACATCTCAATATCAGTTATTTATGAAGAACTATGTAGCCTGCAGTCTTTTAAGGGTCCAGGTCCAGACGGTGTCCCACCTCTTATGATAAAGAATTGTAGCTTTGTATTATCCCGTCCACTTTTCATTCTTTTCAATAAGTCACTCAGTTTGGGTGAATTTCCTAAACTCTGGAAGCAGAGCTTCACCATACCCATTCATAAATCTGGCGATAAAATGGATATTTCAAAATACAGACCCATTATCATCCAAAACACCTTCCCAAAGGTATTTGAGAGCATAGTGACAAAGTTTTTAACTCCAAAAATCAATCCCTGTCTAATTGAGCAGCAGACCGGTTTCCGTCCAAAATGCTCAACTGAAACCAATCTCCTGTCCTACCAGGACAAAGTTTCAAGAATTCTTGAGGATGGCGAATCAGTTCACTCCATATATACCGATTTTGCAAAGGCTTTTGACCGTGTCAACCATGCCGTTCTGCTTGCTAAGCTTGAAAGTGCTGGAATCTCCGGTACTTTGTTGAAGTGGATTAGCGACTATCTTGGGGAGAGAACTCAAATAATCAAAGTTAACAACTTCTTCTCACACGAAATTGACATCCCATCGGGCGTTCCACAGGGTTCTCACTTGGGACCTCTGCTGTTCAACGTTTTTATTAACGATATCAAGTCTTGTTTTATTAACAGTGAGTTCCTGTGCTTTGCGGATGATTTAAAGGTGTTCACCCGGGTCTCTTCTATTGAAGACTGTGCCAGACTACAATCTGACCTCGACAGACTCTCTGAGTGGTGCGCTTTGAGCACAATGCTTCCAAATGCAAAGCCATTGTTTTCTCCAAGGGTCGTAGCCCTCCACAATTTGCCTACCATATAAACAACATTCCGCTTGAAACTGTCTCACAACAACGAGATCTTGGTGTCATTTTTGACAGCAGTCTCAATTTTATCACCCATATTTCAGACATCACAACAAGGTCGTTAAAACTTGTAGGCTTCATTAAGAGGTGTTCGAGAGATTTTACAAGCATAGATTCTATCAGATACCTTTATTGCTCAATGGTGAGGCCCCTGATGGAGTACTGCTCCTCTGTCTGGTCACCAATGTATTCTAATCATATCAGAGCCCTAGAGCTAGTGCAGCGCAAATTCGTACGTTATTTAGCCTTCAAGGCAGGTATTCCTTCGCTTGAGAACTATGTATATGACTATGACGACCTATACAGACGCTTCAATCTACAACCCTTGGCAGCTAGACGCAATCAAAGAGATTTATATACTTTTTACAAGGTACTGAACTCCATTAGTGATTCCGCATACCTACTGTCCAGAATAGGGCTTCACGTCCCAGCAAGGGACACCCGCTCTGCCATAACCTTCTCAGAATGAAATCACCGTACAAACTATGGTTTCAATACATTCATCTCCAGAACTTCTCGGTTATGTAACACCCATGGTAGCCTGGATTTTTTTGGACCCATAAATAGCTTTAAAAGAGAGCTTGACTCTCTAATGTAATTCTCCTCGTCTGTTTGTGATGCCAAGTTCGATAGCTAAGAATTTCTAGTCATCTTGATCAGTCATTATTTATGTTTGTCCTCTATTTTCTTATACCTATAACTGATTTAATGTTTTACTGTTAATAATTTATATGTATTTTTATCCTGTTACTACGCCAAGTATTACTGGCCTATGTTTATTTAGTTGTAAGGTACTTAATGTTTCTTGTTGTTTTTTTTTTTCTTTTGAAACTTTTAATGGGTCTTGCCCGTAAATAAATAAATAAATAAATAAATAAATAAATAAAATTTAGGAAAAAAAAATAATGGAAAGTTATTGATGATGTTTACAATAATTGGATGCTTGTGGCATGCAAGATTGTGTTGTAAAACTGTTTTTTCCAATGTTTTATTTCAATCAGACCTAATAGTTTTAGATTATTGGGATTGAGTAAAAGCTCTTTTTGTCTCTGCCTATATTTGATTTTCCTACTCTCGCTGGCATAAGAGGTCTGAATAAATTCTGTTTCATTGAAGCTTATTGTACGGAAACTGTGATTGAATATGAATAATGAATTTTTACAAATGACCAAATCGAATCTGTCCAATGTATCGACAATAAGTTCTTCGAATGAAAGAAAATTTTGACATTCGAGAAATACAAAATTGAAAACTGTGTCATCAGTCTTGACATAGTAAGAATACAAAATATTGGACATTCCGAAAGGACTTGATTGATAATAGTTTCCTCTAGTTGTTGTTGAATCGAAAATTCTGTCGCTTTTCAGAATTTCCAATATCGGCTTTTGAAAATTTTCACAATGCCAGATATTTTCTTTTTCATAATTATCTATTTCAATGTAAATATCGATGTCTCCATATTTATTGGTTTTACCTAGTAAATATGAAACAAAACCTCCTGCAGAAAAACATCTTAATCTATAACCTATCTCTAATAATAACTTATATAAAATGTTTAAAATTGAATCCAAATTTTCATTCAACGGAAAATCGATTTTTTTTGCGTTGAAAAGTAACGTTTCACTTAAATAATAGTAAGCGGCAATATTTGTTGATGGAGCTCTACACAGAAAAGAAAATTACAAGTTGGACTTATTATAAAGGAAAAAAATTTACCTTATAAATTTGGAAGGATTGACGGTAGGGCTTTTGATTTTAGCCATAATTTTCTTCGGTAAACTTTTTTTTCTTCACAAAATTGAAACAGTTGAGTTTTTTTTTTCAACTCGCAAACGAATAATAAAATAATGAATTCTAATCTTGAATTTATACATAAAAAATATTTGGCTTGTGCAGAAATTATACATTGTATTAATTAAGTTGTTTTGCGTGATAATAGAAACGAAATTATTCCAAAATTCAAAGTTATCGATAACAAATGAATCCCTTACTTGGCAAAATTTCAACAGCTTACTTTGTTGTGTTCCTATGCGAATCTTAAATTGATAAACAAAAAATACTTGACTTGTGCAGAAATTATATATTGTAGTAAAGTTATTTAGTTGTAATAATGATAGAAACGAAATTTTCCATAAAATTGAGAGTTAGCGACTCAGCAAAATGATACATTACATTATACTAGATTGACGTCAATCAATTTATTACTTTATCAAAAATTAGGAATACTTTTTTCGTTCAAATTAGTATTTATATTGAGGATCAGTTCATGGTGTTACAGTTAATCCAGTTCTTCTTCTTCTTCGACACTAAGATTCAACTAGCAAACAAAAAAAATGGCAAATGTACCATGTACTCTGGTCGTGATGACGGGTGACAAAATTAATTTTCCAAATAGTGATGTTTTGGTTGTAATGAGAGAGATGTTTCAGTGAGTATTTTTTTTATATCAATATTTTATTTATTTTCTTTCAAATTTAAAATTGTACCTTGGCTTTTTTTTCTTCAGATACGGTGTTAAGGAAATTGTTGAGCGGGACGGTAAGGTCTATGTCCACTTAACCTACTCGCCCAAAGCTATAACCCTGAAGCGGAAATTTGGCAATCTGCCTCTACGTTATATGAGGACAAAAATAAACAACGAGGCAGATTTCAAAATTCTGGAGAAGGTCGTGAAGCGGTATCGTTTCAATCTCTTAGATGAAGAACCCAACGAGGTGGCTGCTATTGTACAGCAAAGTAGTGGCGTTGATAGCAGCTCGAAGAGGAAGCTGAATATCGAAGAGATATACTTGTCCTCGTCAGATGAGGACGATGCTGCTGCTGCTGCTAGTGTCAAAGAGAACAACAACAACACGAAGAGAGCCAAGACAGAGGAGGTATTATTTTTATTATCCGAGGCGGCTGCAACTATGGACCAACCTGGAACTAGCAGCAGCAGCAGCAATAGTCATCAGTGAGTACATGCCTACCCAGTTATTGTTGTAAAAAAAAAAATAAAAGACTTAAAATATGTTTTAATCTATTTTATTCACAAACCAATTATTCAATAGAAAAACATTTTCTCTGGTACAAAATAGATTATTGATAGAATGTGTATTACAATGTAGTGAATTTGGAAACAATACAGTTTTTAACTTTTTGAAATTTGGACATCCCAAGCTATCCATATCGACTATATGATTATTTATCAAATTACAGAGCCACACTTTTTTGTTGAAACCTTTGACAAAAACAGTGTTATTTTGAACGATTTCTTGTATAAAATTTGTGATATTTTCCAAAGGTAGAAAACTAAAATTAAAACTGTCCCAATCCAGTCCGTGCAGGTTTTGGGTATTCCACTGAACTTGACGTCTGAAGTTTTCATTGAGCCATTTACTTGGAATTGGTAAATTTATAAAATGATGGTATAGCTGACCAGTTGCCTTATTTAAGATTGCAATTTCCTTGCAAACGAAATCACTGTCTTTGAACTGCAAACCTTGTACGTCTAAGATGAACATTTTCTTTTTTCTTTATCCACTTTCGCTAGAGTCTAAAGTACACGCACTGTACTGGTCAAGGGATTGTATTTCACTAGTCGATCGTGGAGAATCAAACAGTAAGCTGTGGTGTTTGCTTGAACCGCTTTTTTCGTTTCGAATTCTACACGAATATCAACAGCACCACCTTTTAGAATGTCTTCACCTTGCCGAGAGCAATCAATGACTACTAGAGGAGCATCTTGTTTGAAATTTATAGGATAGAAGCATGGTTCACTTTGCTCACGATAATAGTAGGATTTTTGGAATTGTGCATACATTTCATATAAGATTGCAAAATGATTGGAGTCAAAGTCCAGGTTGAGGTTATCGTAGGGATAAACTTCTGAGTTTAAATAGACTTTTAAATTTGTCAACGTTATGTGGTCAAATCTGCTCATGTTTTTCGATGCAACATTTTTTCTATTTGTTTGGAATCCAATAATGATGAAACGTGGTTTTTCCAACTGATTGGTGGACTTAACAGCCCATGTATGATTTGTTGTACTTTGTAGTTGTGAATATTCGTGCAATTCCCAGCTTCTAAATGCAATATTTAGGTCCAAATTTTTCTCAAAAAACTTATAAAGACGTAATTTTTGATCATCAGACACTCTAACATGTGGCATTTTCCATAAAATTTTACTTAGCGTCACTTTGTATGTTTCTTTTTTATCTTCTTGTTCAATGAGAGCATTGACGTCAGAATTACTTCTTATCAATACAAGTTCCTGTCGCACATTCAAAATAATCTTATGATGATCCTCAAAAAATCCCATTAGAATTTTCAGAGGTATACATGCATTGAAATTTCCGTTTCCATCCAAAAGTGCTGGATTTGATTTGGCATCCCAACCAGCATTTACCAAAACATTATTTTCGCTTTCCTTGAATGAAACATAACCTTTCATTGTCGACGTAATTCCAGGGTTTCTTACACGATCAACAATAACGCCTCCCAATTCATAGCGAATTTCATCAAATAAGTGGGCCAATCCATTGTTAATAAAGCTTACGTTGTTGCTGAACGTTACGTTATCAGACAATAAAAGTTTACCTTCAATATACAAAAAACTTTGGCTGGGTAATGTATAAACATCCTGTGTCTGTATTGGAATTCGGATTTCATCATTGTTATTGAATGTTGATGATGTGTAGGGTTGATGTGTGTGCAATTGATAACTTACAATTGAATTATCATATATGACACTTTCGCTTACTTTCAGAATATTACGACTCATTTTCTTCTTCTTTTTCAAATTCTTCAGTACACTTGAAATTACATCTAATAGATAGAATAATTCTTCTTATGCTACAACCCACTCGTAGTTTAATGTTGACCCAAAATTGTATAAATCTCTTTTTTATCGAAATGATGACACTACTGCACTTTTAACTTGAAGCCTAACGAAATCAAAAAGTTTTTATTTTGCACTGTTAACCGTTTGACTGATTTTCCATCACTGAAGCGATTTTCCTTTAGTGACTTATTTTTAAAGGCTTTTTGTGTTCTGGACTCGTTGGTCGTTGTTGTTGTTGTTGTTGTTGTTGTTGTTGTTGTTGTTGTGTTGTTGTCGTTCTCGTTGTAATCATTGTTATCGGAGGGTGCACTAAATGAATTATGATTATATAAAAACACCATTTTTTATTTTTTGTTTCCACTATGACGATTTTCTCAAATGCAATCGAACAGTTATCAATTCACTGCGGAAATTAATGGCTTCTCCACTTTGATCGGTAATTTTCAATAAAATCTCATCAATGTATCGCGTACTGATTGGTAAATAAATGACATTTGAGGGTTTTTCAACAATTTTAAATCCTGGTGGTGAGGTGGGATAGAACATGTGCAGTATATGAACCGGATCACCGTTATTGTAGGAATTTATCACTAAATTACACTCAATACAAATTGCATTGACCTTGAAGATATCCACTGGGTTCTCCGAAACGTGTCTTCTATTTGCTTCAAGTTGTTGACTTTTGAATCCCAATAAACTTCCAATAGAATTTTTCTTGTTAAAATGTATATCTTTGTTGCACAAAATTTCACACTGTAATGTGTTGTGATTGGCGAGTATGCTTATTTTTAAATCATCTTCTTTATTATTGTCTCTTACGTAGGCATTCAAGTAATCATTGATGTCTTTTATCTCATAGGAGCCTTCTGGAATTGTTATCGAAGACTTACCATCAATGTCATAGTGGAAAGTATTATTTGAACTGTCAATGTTCGGTATGGAATTGTAACTCTCAAAATTGATAAGACCCAAATCGAATTGTTCGGAATCGTTAAGAACTATAGGTGGATGAATATTTGCAGAAAGGTTCGCTGATCTCCCCGATAACGTAAACGTATACGACATGATTACTATTGAAAAGTCTACTTATTAATAAAAGACAAACTAGTACATTTTGAGTTTTTATTTGGTTTTACAATGATATAAAAAACTTAAACATAAATGACCACAATTTACAGAATTATACGATTGATAAGGATTTTGGTTATAAAATATTTTACAGCCGCCATTTGAATTGAAGTACTTGACCGATTCCAAAGGTGGTCGCAAATTGCCAAAACTATCAAAATAGTGGATGTTTTTACCAATTTTTTTATATGTTGTCCAATGAGTTCCAACACCTGTGCTGTTATCCAAATTGATAATACCAGATTCGTTTTTGTGTATTTTCATTGTGGGTAACTGATCCTTCATGAATACACCACGAAAATGTTTCAGTTTCAGTAACTTTGCATATTTTTCCAAATCAATGTTGGATAGAGCGCGATGTTGTGGTAGCTTAACAGGTAATGCTTTTTTAAAAATTGTCAAGGTATTTTTTTCTGACATCCTCCTTGGTGTAAAAAAAGACCCAGACCAGTTTTGTATGGTTTCAAAAATAATCCTTTACCCATGGCAATGGATTCCATCGTTTGATTATGACGTTGATTCTCCTTCAACTGTTGATTGGCGGACTTGGCATCATTAACAGCTTTAGCAATCCCTGCGGCTCCTCCAGACACCGCGCCCAATGCTGACAAACCGGCAAATATTGGTATTAATGGAAGAATACCACCAGTTTTGGGTACTCTAATTATTCGAGCTGGTCTAATTTTACCTTTAGATTTTTTAATACTTTTTAAAGCAACATTGATTGCACTTTCCAAATCTTTCGGGTTTTCACGCTTTAAGCTATCCTTCACTGTTTTAGTTACATTGCTAAAACTAATCTTTTTTTTTCCTCGTTTATTTTGTTGACTTCTCCTTTTAGTAGCAATACGGGAATGTTGTGGACGTTTTCTTTGTTTTCTAATCCAATCTAAAGAGTTCAAATAATTTCGTGTCATTTTCATACCACGGTGAATTAGATTTAAACATTTTCGCTGGATTTTCGAACGCGGTTCTTTAGCACTTACACCATGATCATGAGCAACATCGAGACCCATACCTAATTTAACTTTTGTGTGAATGGCTGCAGCTACTCCTGTGGCTGCTACTTTTTCTGATAACGCTGCATTTTTTGCATTTATTTTCTCCAAAGCCCTCCTCAACAATATCTTATCAGCCTCGTGACGTTCATCCAAAAGTTCATTTTTTGAGTATGCTATATCGTGTTCCTTACATGCCTCATCCAACTGATTAACACCCTTGTCACCTCTGACCAAACGTTTTTGTAGCTTTGTTCCAGGACCGCAGTAGTTGTAACCAGGTAAGTGTAGTTCAAAGGGCAATCTATTAATAGCACTGTTTAGTAATCCCTCACCGGTATAACGATTGGAATAATTCATATAGTAGTTCATGTTTTATCAACAAAACACAATTTAAAACTAAATAAAAATTGTGATTTCACCAAAGCTTTATACATTTCACGACTGAATGTTGACCAATCAGGTACCTACGTTTTATTATTTTTTTAAGTTAGTGAGAAAATGAAAAAAATCGTGAAACAAAAAATTCGTTTGGAAGTGGATAACCACGATGATGATGTCAAAAGCAACAACATATCTTCAAAACATGGCAAACTGCTACCTCATAGTATTAGAGGTCTAATAGTTGGACCGTCGAATTGTGGTAAAACCAATGTAATGCTTACCCTTCTGGAACATCCCAATGGTGTGAAATTTGAAAATGTCTACCTGTACTCGAAGAGTTTGTATCAACCAAAATATTTATATTTGGAGGAACTTTTCAAACCAATCAAAGGAATTGGATATTTTTCCTATAGTACTGGAGAAGACATTATTGCACCATCTGATGCAAAACCAAATTCTGTATTTATATTTGACGATGTGGCAGGTGACAAGCAGAATGTGATTCGTGATTATTTCAGTATGGGTCGTCATAACAACATTGAATGTTTCTATCTCTCTCAAACTTATGCTAAAATTCCCAAACATTTGATAAGAGACAATGCAAATGTCATTATCATATTTAAGCAAGATGATTTGAATTTGAAACATGTATATACTGATCACGTGGGTACCGACATGTCTTTTGAGGATTTTAAAAGTATTTGCTCGCACTGCTGGAGAAAACAGTACGATTTTCTATCAATTTTCAAAGATAGTAATATTGATAATGGGAGATATCGTAATCGATTTGACAATAACATATATCTATAGATGCATCAGCTACTATTTTTTATTTGTATAGTAAAAGTGTTGAGCATACCACGTAGAAGATTAAAAAATGTTTGAGAAAACCAATAAAAGTGATAAAGTATTGAAAAAGAAATTAATTATGAAAAGAAAAATTATTCGCGAAAAATTAAATTTGTTGAAACAAGGACAAATACTACAAGAAAATCTATTTCAACCCATCACGAAACACTTGACGAATATTGAAACTCAATTGGATAAAAATCAAAATCTGGCACAACAACAACAAGAAAAGACAACAATAGCAATACCAACAACGAAAAAATTGAAAAAGGAACAGGATGAAGAAGATAATTACGATTATGAAGAAGATGACGTATTCAAA